AAAAATATCAAAACGCTCGGGAAATCATTATGAGTGTCCATGTTAGTAGTAGTGTTAATGACACATTTTGTTATATTTTTGATAAAACACAGCAATAAATGCTGCTCGCACCCACAGACCAAAAAATACTTTCTAGCATTGGCAAAAGCATGCGTTTTTAGCCTTATTGATGATGGTTTGTTTAAAAAATGACCGAAAAACAGGAAGAAGATTGCACAGCGATTTCTTGGATTATTTTTTAAACCTAAAATCTTTTTTTCGAGTTTTAAAAGAAAAAAACTTTTTTAACTTCACTTCTCTGTAACTTTATTTCCGTTCAAAATTTTGCTTTGAATATCCCGTTCGCGACCGCGTGTGCAAAACTGATCATGCGTAGCAAAAAAAAAATTTCCTTCCCCGCCTTCCACTACCTCCTTAGTCATTTCCTTCACAGTTTTCATCAAAATTTCTCATCTTGGATAAATGTCATGGCAGAGAATGATGCACAACATTAACAATTGCATTGTGATGATTGCGGCTTTTGGATATTCGGTGCATCAAGTCGCTGGCCTTTAGGATGCACAGATGTTGGATCGGAATCCAATGATTCGGCCATTTTATCACATATAATTTCCACAAGCTTCTCGAATACTGCTTTTACGTTGATATTTTCTTTAGCTGATGTTTCGAAAAACTCTAGTCCTGAAAAAACAAAAAGTTTATTTAGACAGTCCTTTTTACAAGCTACTTTGTATGCTTTTTTCCGAAAGGTAAAACGGAAACTTTTACAATCATAGTCACGAAATTATAATTTCCTTTAATATTTATAATCTGTTTAAAGAAAATTTTTTTTTCAGAAGATCAAAAAGTTGATTTTTTAAGCTAATTTTCTTTTACGAAAATTCAGATCCCATCTTGTTTTACTTTTTTAAAATGCCAAAAAAAGTCAAGATTCTCTTCTATTTTGCTTGCTACGACAGCACTTTAAAAGAAACTAGAGTGAGGAGCAAATGTAAACAACAGTCACCAACTGGCAACGCTATCATGGGCCAGCACTAATTTACCGTCGATTGTAACGAATGAACATGAACGGATTGTTTGTCTCACTGGCAGAGAATCTTCCACTCAGAGCATCACAATATTGCTGTTTCTCACTACGCCATGCGTGCATGACTTGTTGTGATAGGAACGGCATGAAGGATAAAGCGAGCAAGCGGCCACCAAATGGTCGTTCTTATAAGTCAGAATAAACGAGTGAGATGAAATGCCAAAGAAAGTCAAGATTCTCTTCTATTTTGCTTGCTATGACAGCACTTCAGGGAATGTTCCCAGCCCATGTACGACTTAAATTTATCAAATTCATCCCTGGGTGTGAGTGACTGTCACGTATGGCCCCGTGAAAATTTTTGGCAAGAAAATTGCTAACTCAAGAACCAGAATATTTGGAAAGCTGAAATTTTAAGGAAATGTCCCCTGTCCAAACACCGCGTAGACAAGGACCAGTATATCACACATTTCTAGCTACTGTGTTTCTGAGTGATCTTATTGCAGCAGGAAATATTGCAAAAACGCGAGATCGTACGGACTCGCCCGGTGCGCATCGCCTATGATTTTATTCCTACGCCCAGGCTTGTTTTAATTTACTTTTTATGCGTTTTTGCTGTGCAGCGCTATAGCACTGCTACAGCCAGCAAAAACGCTGCCTGTGTGTGTGTGTGTGT